TACGTCTATCTTGGGATGTAATAAATGGCCTTCTGAGGTAGCCCCCAAAGGCCTGCACAAGGAACCTAGAGTGGTCACGCCCAGCGTTCAGTTGTCTTTATTTGGGCAGAGGAATCCTCTCCAAGGCTGGAGTCCTCCACCCCGCTCCACTGTGTCACACTGGCTGATGACAAGATTTTTACCGACACCGGAAGGACATTGTATACATTCAGCCGTCAGTTTTCCCACTTGGCAATCTTTCCATAAACCAAACAACTCGGATTCTCAGTCCTCACATGCTTCCTTTAGGAGCTGACAGTAAAAGCAACTTGCATCTGCGAAGTAGGAATAAGTGCCTCCCCCACCACCCATGTATCCAGAGTCTTGGAAAACCTGGGAAAAAGAGTTCATTCTCTCTGGGTGGTATCATCTTGCGGTGCAACATATCTGAGGCAACGTCTGGCCATCCCCTTCCCGTCATCACAGCACCCAGCCGTGGGGCAGTCACCACTGTATTTATCATCAGGACACTGCACTGAGACAGAACATGCTCTTCTGTTCATAGCACAGACTGGGAACTGAGGCAGCAGAGCCTTCCTGAAGTCCTGCAATGAAACCGGGGCAGAGATGAGGATAGGACTTGCTCCTCCAAAATCCCAGTCTGCATCATCAAAATTGACTGTTTTCAAAGGGATAGAGAGTGTCTTCATAAAATCATAGAATGGTTAGAGTTGGAAGGGACCTTAAAGATCATCAAGTTCCAACCCCCCTGCCATGGGCAGGGACACCTCCACTAGAGCAGGTTGCTCAAAGCCCCATCCAGACTGGCCTTAAACACCTCCAGAGATGGGGCATCCACAGCTTCTCTAGGCAACCTGTTCCAGTGTCTCACCACCCTCACAGTAAAGAATTTAATTCTGGAATCTAAGCTAAATCTCCCCTCTTCCAATTTAAAACCATTACCCTTTGTCCTGTCAAGTTGTTCACCATCAACTTCTTTTCTCCCACAGTTAGAAAGAGGTTTGGGAAACAGGGTATCAGTGAGCAGGGTCTCTGTCCCAAGGAAGGTGGCAGGAGCCCGCTGGATCGCTGCCATTCCAGTGGGGAACTCCAAGGCCCTTCTGCTGCATTACATCAGCAGCGAGCAATGGGAGGACTCATTTGAGCCAACTGTGGGTTGTCATTCTTCCTTCCAGACTCAGTGGCCTCTGAAATCACCCCATTGTCTGCGGCGGAATCTGGCGCAGGCCCATAATGCCAGGTTACTTCACTTCCCTGCAGAATAAAAGATTTCTTCAACCATGAGAAATTATCTCCTGACAGTGCCATTCATTAGGGCTCCCACCTGTAGACTGTTTCATTTTCAGCTTACTCGCAAGGTGCTGAAAAGTCAGTGTTGTGTGTTATCACTTGACAATATAGTCCAGCTCCTACCTATTCACCCTCACCTACGTGGTCACTTATTGCTCTTTGCCTCAACAATGGCTCACAGTAACGCTCCGATCTTGGGCTTCGCTCTCTTTTTAAAAAAAGCCTGTGCAGCCCAAATTCACCAGAGCTCTTGTTTCTTAAGAATTATACACATGGTGGGGGGGGGGGAATCTATAAGATGTTATTTTTTTCCCTTTTTTGAATTAGAAAGTTAAAACATCAGATTTTGTCTATAGTGGCTGGAAAGAACTGGACAGTGGTGCATTTTTTCTGAAGGCAGACATTAAGCCAGTCCAGGAGAATTGCCTTTTCTGAGCTTATGGTTCAATGAATACCCTAAAACTAATAAAAATCTGTAAGTCTTTTTGGCACCCTAATGTCTCATAACTAAATTTCAAACTAAACATTCTTCTCCACTCCTTTTGGCATGAAGGAAGTTTTGCCCAACTAGCTTTCTAGCTTTCTTTAACCCTTCTCAGGAGGAGTCCTGTAGACACCAAGCCCTGGGGCTCCTATTCATCAACCTGTTGTACGTAGAGGCACAAAATGTCTTATAATCTGTATGACTGAAATACTATGGAGCGGTAGCTGTGGACCAGCTCCACTTGCACTTGATGGCAGGTTCTGTGCAAACACAACACAAAAAGAAGATGGTCCTTTCCTCTAATCAGAAGCAGCGAGACAGCAGTCAGTGTCAAGAAGACAGAATCACACCAGGAAAGCATCGAAGTGTGGTGGGATGTCTCTAACTATGCACATGTGGTTGGAGTCGATGATCTCAAAGGTCCCTTCCAACCACGAATATTCTGTGATTCTGTGATTTACAGAGACACTTTTTTTGGATGGGCTGCCTTCATCTTTTCCAGCACTGACTTTCAGCTGCTGCTCCAGACAGGGAAGGTCTGTGGTCCTGTATTGTATCATGGATGGCCCAGGGCATCCCAAACGCCTGCAGGTAAGTGAGGTGATTCCTACCATATCTATCTTAGCAGTGTCTTGTATCTCTGCCCCCTTCTGCTGTAAACATTTCTATCACTGTCATATCTTCTAGTATTGTGTCTACTTGAATCTGTGTCTGGAGATCAGTCAGTCAGTCCTTCTTCAGTCAGTCACAATTTATTCACAGTCACTGTAAATAAAAAATTGGGGAAAGCATACAAAGAAGGAAAGAATTATGCTTAATATTTATTCCTTCTTCCCACGGAGACTCTTGAAAACACCCGTGTGATACAGGAAGGCTGATACCTTTGAGATAAAGCAGGAAAGCGACAGAGAGCTGTTCAGTGGAGGGTTTGCAGTCATCTATAAGTGGCTGTTAGGCAATCTGTACTTTGTCCAAACAGCAAAAGAGACTGAGAGTCCTCGTTCAATGTGGTGACCTACTACAGTCAGGAAGACCTGTGAGAGGAAAGCTGGGAAGGCCCTAAGGCACATATGGCAATTAGGGCAGAAGAGGCTGTACGCCCATGGAAAGCAAGTCCTTCCTTCCAGATAAGGAAGGGATCTGTGATTCATACGGTGTTGCTGATGAAGCTACTTGTTATCTGCCTACTGATACTCCAGGTACCTTCTTAGCTGTTGCATGATCATTTACTGGTGGCCCAAGAACTGCTGTCACCAGCCCTTACTTTCCCCTGGCAGCAGCTGTATTCTCTAGGTGTGTTTCTGCTGGAGAACATAGAATCATAAAATGGTTTGGGTTGGAAGGGTCATTAAAGATCACCTAGTTTCAACCCCCCTGCTATAGGCAGGGACCCCTCCCACCAGACCAGGTTGCTCAAAGCCCCATCCAACCTGGCCTTGGACACCTCCAGGGATGGGGCATCCACAGCTTCTCTGGGCAACCTGTTCCAGTGCCTCACCACCCTGAGAGTTAAAAATTTCTTCCTAATACCTAATCGAAATCCACTCTCTTTGAGTTTGAAGCCATTACCCCTCGTCCTATTGCTACACGTCCTTGTAAAAAGTCCCTCTCCAGCTTTGCCCTCTTCCCCTGGGGACCTCTCCCTCACGTTGTAATTCCCTAATCATTCATAGTTGAGAAAGGCTTGCCTGAGTAGTTATGATTTTTGTAGCACTTGCTTTTTCCAACCGTCTGTTAAAACCTTTCCACAGACCCAAAAGGGGTCGGCCCTAGGCCCAAGTAAATGCAAATTAGAAAAATCACGTCTAAGAATGTAAGATCCTGTGACACCTCGGCTCATCACGTAGGGCCCATGTGTGGGGCAGAGCTTTTGCAGTGCTTCAAGCTCTCCTGGTCTCCTTTGTACGGGTAACAGCGGGGTGAAGAGGTCAGCAGAAGGCAGCAAATAAATTGATTCCTGTGAAATTTATATTTCCTTTCTGGGGTAATGGTGATCAGCTGGGAATCTTGGCAAAACCTTTTGTGGATTTTTCTCCCGGAGTTAAAACACATTGCAGGGTTTTTGCCTTCTTGGCTCTGTTTTCCTCTTTTCTTGCCAGATATCATTATAAGGATTCAAGAAGGATGAGTAATTAAAACCCATGCAAAGAATGTGTCTGACAATTAAATTCAAATATCTGCCTGATGAGGCAACATCGGGAACAGACCCCAGAGCTCCTGGAGCTGGTGCCCTGCAATGGCAGGAGAGATCCTGGGGGTCTACCCCATGCCCGGGGACCCTCCAAGAAGGGACCTGCCACGCTGGGGACCCAAGAGCTTACACCCTGCGATGGCAGGAGGGACCTCAGGTGTTCGTCCTGCCCCTGGGGACACTCTGAGAAAGAACCTTCCACACTGGGGACAAAGAGCCTGTGGAGGTGCCACCACCGCCCCCCTGAGACCTCCCTTTTGCCCCAGCCCTGAGGTGAGGGGCTGGTGCTCCCTGAGCTGCCCCCAGTGCCCGGACACCACGAATAAAAGCAAGTGTGAGGAAAAAAACATATAGTTTTCCTCAGGAAATAAGTGAAATAGCAGCCTGAGGGGAATGAGAGGGGGTGACGCCCCACAGGGTGCGCTGGGGGAGAGGCCTACGGGGAGGGAGCGCCCGGCCCGGCCCGCGGGCTCGCCCGGCGCGGCCCCCCGCGGCGGTGGGACGGGC